TCCCCTCCAAATGCTAGAGCAGCTGATGTCCAAGCCAGCCCATTGTTGAGTCCCAGGCTGCCTTGTGTCAGGGAATTGTTGGAAAGGGAAGAATAGTGTGCCCTCAAGAGCAGGATCCAGTGGGGACCCCATAATCTCCACTTTTTCTCAACAGCAAAGTCCTCTTCCCCCAACCCCTTCCTGCTTGCTCTACAGAAAACCTCCCAGGAAACACTGCATTCCTCGAAACTCACGTGCTCCAAGCCCTCGGGACTGTGGCTGTGGCTCTGGGGGTCCTGGGAGCTGCCTACTACATCACTGAGGCCTGGTGACCAACCCACACCCAGGCCCAGCAGGTAGGAGCAGCCCCTGTCCCTTCCCAGAATTCAGGGCTCTCTGTGGCTGGGCCAAGCCACTGAGCCTCTCAGGCAGCCTTGATGCTCGCAGAGCATGCTGGGCTCACCGTCAGGACACAGAAGCATACACCTATCTCGTCCTGTGTCCCCTCTTCCCCGGGACAGATCTCACTACCCCTGTTGCAGGTACTGGATGGAGTGGGGGAAGGGCCAGGGCAGACTTTCCTTCCCTACCACCTTCCTTCTTCCTTCCATCACTGTGTTCTCCATGCTGTTCTGTGTCTCTCGTGCGTGCCTCTGTGGTGTACGTATGAGCTGACTTCCCGACTATGCAGCAAGATCCTTGAGGGCAAAGGGCAGCTCTTGTGCCCTCCAAATGCTAGAGCAGCTGATGTCCAAGCCAGCCCATTGTTGAGTCCCAGGCTGCCTTGTGTCAGGGAATCTGTTGGAAAGGGAAGAATAGTGTGCCCTCAAGAGCAGGATCCAGTGGGGACCCCATAATCTCCACTTTTTCTCAACTGCAAAGTCCTCTTCCCCCAATCCCTTCCCTGCCTGCCTCAGTTGGACTCTCAGAAGCAGAGCCTAAAGCGAGGATTAGGTGCACAGGACACGCTCTCAGGGAGAGGAGGGAGGCAGAGAGGGCAAGGGAGGAGGTGAACAAGGAGGGGATGAGGTCTCAGCCCAATCCCAAGGGACCCTGGGATGTGAGTTGCACCCCACAGCTGCTCTCATGAGGCCTGAGGCCTCCCTTTTGGCTCCCTGTGAGACAGTCCATCTTTGACTGCAGGTGGAGGTGGGGAGTGCATGTCTTTATGGGAAAAGCAGCTCACTTATCCCTTGACCACCGCCACTCCTGGGTGCTGGCAGGCAACGGCCACCTTTCAGCCCAGGCTGGGAATAGATGTTCAGCTCTCAGAAGCTGAACCCAGAAAATAACTCCAGGGAGAGCTCAGCATCCTCCCAGGCTTCCTGCATCTGTTCCAGGGATGCTTGTGAAGTAGAATTCGAGGCAGCTGTAGCCTGAGAAGTACCACAGCAGTTAAGAGTCTCAGTTTTCCCATCTGTGACTAGGGAACATCACCGTGCCTGCTCATTCACACTTGGCAGTGACAAGGTGCTGCAGGACAGAGCTGGTGGCAGGCAGTCTCAGCACTGCTGCTATGAGGTGGTCAGAAAGATGCTGTCTCAGAGTGAGAACACATAGCTTCCAGCCCTGACAGTGTTGCCAGAGAGCTGGGCACTGGGTGGCCTGAGTGTCATCCCTAATGGGGACAACAACAACCCTCCAGGGGTTCAGTGAAGGACCTGCAGAGGTGTGAGGCTGCTGCCAAGCTAGGGATAAAGAGGCTGGCAGCATGATAAAGGGACTGCGTGAATACTCCCTCCCCAAAGTGCCCTGCAGCACAGCCCACTGCTGGTGAGCATGTGTCCTAGTTACTTTCTCTTCACTGGAAAATAATACCTAACACCACAAGTTAAAGTGGACGGGTTGATTTTGGCTCGAGATTTGTAAAGGTGTCCGTCCATAGTTTGCTGGCTACAAGCCAGTGTGGCACAGCAGAGAGACACTGAAGAGGAGAACTACTCATGTCCAGGTGGCAGGAAGCAGAGAGGGATCAAGGGAGGAGGGCCAGACAGGCCCTTCCAGGCCACCGCCCCAGTGACCACCGGACTCCACCCCCATATCACATTCAAGAATAAATTTATTGGGGCTGGGGAGATGGCTCAGTAGCATAAGCATTTGCCTGGCAAGCACAAGGGCCTGTGTTCAACCCCCGGTTCCACTAAATAAATAAATAAGTAAGTAAATAAATAAATAAATAAATAAATTTATCAGCTGAGGAATCCTTAGATAGATGTCACACCCCCATGACCCACTCACTTCCCCAAACCCCCACCTATAAGCACAAGATGCTTTGAGGGAACATTGAGATAGAAGCCTAATTGCACATGTTCTGGAGGCACACAGGCTTGGGGTCTGAGGCCTCTCGGCATCCAGACCCCCAGAGCTTGGGGAAGATCCCTTAACTCCTTAATTCTTAAATGGAGAGGATGACCTGGCGTGGCAGTGAAGCTTGCAGTACCAGCACTTGGGAGGCTGAGGGAGGAAGACTGGTGAAAGTTCAGGGCCAGCCTGGGCTATGTAGTGATTTCAGCACCAGTTTAACAGCGTAGTGAAATCCTGTCTCAGAAACCCCCCCCAAAATGACCACAATAACAGTACAACTTTCATTAGGTTTGGAGCTTTGCATAGTGGCAGTATCATAACCAATGAGGTTTATCCAAGTTGCAATTATTGCTAATTGAAAACTTTTCATTAGGGCTGGAAAAATTGTCACGGAATCCTGGGCACAAGATAAGCCTGCAGCGCCACAGCAACGTTGGCTTATTTTTTTCACATAAGTGCTTTTCATTGTTGTTGTTGGCACTAAGGGTTAAATCCAGGGCTTTTACTCTGAGCTACATTTGCTGCTCTTTTGTATTTTTTACTTTGAGACAGGGCCTTGCCAAGTCACTAAGTTTTCCAGGCTGGACTTGGACTTACGATCCGCCTGCCTCAGCCTCAGAGTGCTGCTATTGCCCTGCCCAGCGATTTATTTTTAAAGGAAATTTAGTCTGGCCATGAGGGAAAAGTCCTCCCATTTGTCATGAAAATTCAAACAGTAAAGATATGCTGTGCAGTGTCACGAGGGTGCCTGACGAAGGCTTGCCCGTGCAGCCCGTGCCCTAGCTCGGCTTGCGCAGGCTGTCCACGAGTGTGGGCTGTGGAGACAGTCCAGACCTACCCTGAGACCCTGTCCTTCACCCCAAAGGGAGGGACAGAAGTGGGTGGACTTTGTCACACTTGTCACCATGGTAGATTGGGGCCAGCAGCCACTGAAAAGGAGGAGTCGTACAGGGGGAGGAAGGAGGGAAAGCTGTACCCCAAGCTGTAGCTGCAACTCAACCTTGGTGACAAAGTCCCTGAGCTTCTGGTAGACGGAAGCCTGCACTGCATCTCCCAAGTTACATGTGTTTGGGGGGACAGCAAGTGGCCGCTGGGGACCTGGTTGGGACAATCATTGCGACATCACTCTTTTCTGCAGTACTAGGCAGTGACACCAGGGCTTCTGCACCAAGCTACAGCCCCTGTTGAGTTTTGAGCCAGGTTTTGCTGAGTTGCCTGAGCCTTGCAGTCGCCCCCCTGAGCCGCCCAGAGCACTGGGGATTACAGGGCAGTGCCAGCACACCCCTCCTGCCTGTGCAGGGGCAGCCTCAGCAGCCCCAGAAATGATGCCTCTTCCGCCTTAGCCCAGCCAGCCACGGGCCTTTGCCAGGTGCAGGGCAGGACATGGCTTTCTGGAGACGGATGTGTTGGCTCCGGGCCTGGGCTCCACTGTGCCCAGCCCAGCGCCCGGGGCTGAGCCTGGTGGTTCCAGGGGTGTTTGTGGTCCTTGGGGTGTCTTTCCCCAAGTGCCTCACAGCTTGGGCCAGATGACTCTCAGGGTAGGGATTGATGCCATGTAATGGCTGCTGAGCCTGGATTCAACTGAGCTTAGCAGGCCAGGAAGGTGTCTCATGGCCCCCCAGTCAAAACCACCACCACAAGTGCCCCTTAAGGCAGCAGACACGGCTGAGCCATCCCACCAGGTCGGAGTCCTTCAAGCAGCACAGATGCAGAGCCGCTGTTTCTCTGCTTCACCCTCCCCACAGCGCTTCCACCTCCTGAGGCCAGCGCCAGCTATCACCCCACTCCCAGTTCAGTCACCAGAGCTCATATATAGATATATTTAAGCAATTGGTACCCAGGTGTTCATTTTATTAGTCTTTGTTCTCTTTTTGATTCATTTTTTTGTCAGTACATTTCACAGATACACAAGGATCACATTCATCACAGGGAATTTGTACCTGTACACGACATAGCTTGCTGCTGCTTTGCCACGAAACTCTATAGGAAAAGGCCAAAGATTTATACAACCTTCCTTTCCCGTTCCCCTCCCCTCTCTTCAGTCCCTCCTCCCTTTATTTACAAAGGCTTTTCTTTTTTGCCTTCTATTTTTGTTTTCTTGTTCCCTCTTTCCTTTTCTCCTATTTCCCAACAGCATACACTTTGGTCCTTATTTACACTTTTGGTTTGTCACATCAGAGAAACAATGTGATATTTAAACAAGCGTGTCCGATTTCTTTCACTTAAGAGTATGGTCTCAGTCTAGATCATCTGCTCCAGCAAGGGAAAGCGAGGCACACAGCCAAGCCAGGTGGGGCCCCTGCCAAAGGAAAGGAGTGACATGGGGGTGGGGTGGGGTGGGGTGGGGTGGGGGCGTGCATTGGGGGTGCTCTGTGGGGGACATGAGGCCTCCTGAGCCTCAGGCTTGGTGTTCAGTCCTGTGGAAGGGAGACAAGCAGTCTAGTGTTCCCTGTCCAGACAGTAAAGAACCAGCTGACAGCAGTGGTCAAGTTATCTCCTGTTTGGAGAAAGATGCTTCTAGAATGTTCTTTCCTAAAACTTGGTGAACTCTTCCTGGGACAACAACTGCCAATGATGAGGCATTAAAAACAAACAGCTCCTTTCCCACTCCCTCTCCCTCAGGGTGGCGAATGCAGTCAAATTTGGCAACATGGCCTAAGATTGGAGAGCAAAGCTCTGACTTAGCTTCTGGGGCCCTGAGGGAAGGAGGAAGAAGCCAGAGACAAGGCCACTGGGCCAAGTCGATGTCAGGCACTTTGCCATGGTCGCCAGGCCTGAGGGAAGGGGTGGGTTCCACACAGCTATGTGTGGCTCATAGAGGAACAGATGTGAGCACAGTTTGCCTTTCCACAAATGGATCTTAGCTGCCAAATCCTCATCCAGGAGGTATAAAATTGGCAAGCCACCTTGCTCTGGGTCACAGAGAACTGCCTCAGCTAATGGCTCTGACTTCTTTCTTACAGATCCGGTTCCATCAAAGGATCTCACTTGTCACCAAAATAAAGCCAAAAAAAAAAAATTTTTTTTTCTTTACTGTGTTTTACTCAGGGTCACAAATGGGCATGGTGTCAGTGCAGAGTGCTGAGGACTCTTAGAGCCACAGGTCAGGCTGGGGTCAGGCCACAGGCCAGCCACGCTTCTCCGGCACACGCCCCATAGAACAAGAGATTTGCTTTGGATCTGCCAAGTCCCAGTGAGGCATTGTAAGGCTTAATTCAGTACCTGTGGCAATGTAACCAGCAGTGTGCTATTCGGAGGTAGCAGCACAGGAGGGATGTGCTGGCACGAATACTGTCCTGCACCTCAGGGTCACACTCTGTCCCCAGGAAATGGATTTTCTCACTCCCTCTGAGAAGGTGGCCTGACCTGGCATCAGTCCGCCCGATGCCAGTAGAAGTCTGAAGCAGAGCCAGGAGGAGGTGGTGACACAGGGACAGGCAGTCAGTCAGTCCTAGGTGCAGAGGCCACAGGACTCCCACGGGAGGGGTACCAGGTGATTTACACCCACTCCTGTCTGGGAGGCAGGTAGTTGACTCCCCCACACATTGCCACCCTCTGAGCCCTGAGGCAATGAAATGAGATGCCAGCAAGCCATAGCCAAGGGGAGGTCAGCCCTACATGCCTATGGGGATCCACAGCCCCACGTCCAGGGGATCTGCTGAGCTGCTCAGAAATGGTCCTCCAGGGACAGGCCTGGTGGCCTGGTGGTACATATCTGTGATTCTAGTACTCAGGAGGCTGAGGCAGGAGAATCGCTACCAGTTGAAGGCCAACCTGGACTATGTAGTCTGAAAAGGTTTTGGGGTTTTTTTGTTTGTTTGTTTGTTTTAAGAAAAGTCTTGAAAAGAAAGAAAGGAGGAGGAGGGAAATCAATGGCAACTAGAAACAGATTTTCTCTGCAGTGGGTCCTGTGCACACCCACCTGCCCACCGCCCCTCCCCTCTGCCTCCTCTCTGGACTGCATGCCAGGTGCCCAGGAACAAGAATTCACAGTTTCCTGGGCTGTGGACCCTGGCAATGAGATTCCCAGGTGGTGCTGACCTGTGGGGCATGCCACACACCCTCAGGGAAACACAGACCCCTGTGGTCCTTTAGTGGTGAGACCACCAAGCGGCCCTTCCCCACAGACACTGCTGTGGGCTCATCTGCTGGCCCTGGCCTTGTACTGAGACTTCAAGGGTGTTTTGAAGACAGTGGGGATGCCCAGGGGGAGAGGTCCACATGCAGAAGGATCAAGGGTGCTGGAAGGGCTGCCATTTCTTACTGCTGGCACAGAGGAGGATGTCAGGAGGCACTGTTGCCCTCAAGTCCATTTGGGGTAAACTGAAATCTGGGTTGGGCCATTGGATCCAGGGTGCTTTATTCAGGCTGTTGTTGGATGATTTCATTTGCTGCCAATTCCAAGTTGCAGCCTCTGGTGGGTGCTTTTGTGAGCAGAAAGCAACATTGGCAAGACCAGTGAGCGGGTTCTGTGTTGCCAAAGCAAACAGTGCCATAGCCCGGCCTACTGCAGCCAAGTTGGGCTGAGTCTGGCAGAAGGTGGGCCAGGAGCTCTGTACCCTCACCAGGCCAGTTGGGCCCCACACTGGGCCTGAACAAGGTCTTGAGATCACAGGACAGTCAGGTCTGGGGCCCAGGCAGGGTGGGAGAGGTACACGGGCTGGGGCAAAAGACAAAAGGCAGAACCAGGTCCAGAGTGTCCTTCCTCCTATAGGTGCCGGTGCTGGGGACCCCGTGAAAGGTCCCAGGAGGTTCCTTCCACACCTTGCAGGAAGCCACCCTCCTCTAGTCCTGCAGCCCAGCACATGGTCTTCCCTGAGGGACCAAGGAACAGAATGATCAGGATACCAAGGCCCAGAGGAAACACCTGCTCCCAAAGTCTCCCCTGCCTCCAGCGTGGCCCAGACTGGAGCCAGCGCCAAGGGCAGCATTACAGGCCTGGTCCCCCGAGGATGCCAGGCTCCTTGAGCTGCAACAGGCAGGTCTTGGCCTCAGCGGAGGTCTTATGCAGATCTCCGTATCCAGGCAGCACTTCTGGGCACGTGGGGACAGCAAAGGCACCATCACACCTTGGGCGGCCAGTTCTCCAGGCACAGAGCAGAAAGGCAAAGGGGCATAGCACCCTTGCCAGTGTCCCAAGATGCATTCCTGGCCAAACCCTAGTGGAACCAAGCCCAGGGCTTGAGGCATCTACTCTCAGGGTATGTGTGGCATCTCCAGCTGCCAAGGAGGAAAGAGTACCAGTAACAAGACACTTCTGTTCCAGCCACAGAGCTGAGCAGGGCTGGCCATGGAGCATTCAAGGCTTCTGCTCCAGACATGCACCAGTATTCCCAGAACTCTGGGAGGCTTGAGCAGGAGGGTGGTAACTTGGGACCCAGCCAGAACAACTTCATGTCTTGATGAGGTCCTGTCTCAGAATTTACAAATTTAAGGACTCCAGGTAGGTAGTGCATGTACAAGGTTTCTGTCCCCAGGTATCAGGTCAGAGGTACCCAAGGGAACAGATTGTTTTTCAACCAGATTTTATTGTACATTTTAGGTACACATAGCGGTCATACCTACCACAGGGAATTCGTACCTGTACATGGTATAACTTTTTTTTCCCTAACTCCCTTTCTCCCTTCAACACCTCTTCCCAACCTCAGTTACAAAAGTTTTGTTTCCGTATTTTCCTTCTTTTCTCTTTCCTTTTTTATTCTTCCCTCTTTCCTCTCCCCCTCCCCACTCCCTAGTTCCTCTTCCCATTTGAACATTTTCTTCCTATTTCACAATATCTATTATATGTTTTGGTGCTTATTTGCAATTTTGGTTTCTCACACCAGAGAAACAATGTGGTATTTAAACGTGTGTCCAAATTCTTTCACTTAAGAGTATGGTCTCAGGGTGCATCTACTTTTCCAGAAAAGTCTCAAGTGTATCCTTTTTTAAGGCAGAGTCATGTTCTATTGTATGAAGAAGAAAACCCACATCTTCTTTATCCATTCACTGGTTGATGGGCATTTGGGTTGTTCCCAAGATTCAGCTATTACAAACTGTGCCACTATGAACATGGGTGTGTAGATACTAGCGTGCTATGATGTTTTTATTTTTATTTTTTTGTATTTTAGTACAGGGTCTCACGACATAGATTGGACTTGTAATGATCTGCCTGTGTTCAGCCTCCCAAGAGCTGGGATGACAGACCCGTGCAACCCACACCCACTCTCAATCGCTGTCTAAGCTTGTCCCTGAGGCAGGGCCGGCACAGCATGCCAGGGATTGAACCCCAGTCACTGCGCTCTACCTAAGCAGGTGCTTTAGTCCATTGAACTATTTGGCCAGCCTGCTTTTAATTCTTTTGGGAAGATACCCAGGAGGGAAACAGCTGGGTCAAATGGAACCTCTAGTTTTAGTTTTTTGAGCAATTTCCACATTGATTTCCAAAGTGGTCCCACCAAGCTACGCTCCCAGCAGCAGTAGAGAACGGTCCTTTTCCAGACAGCTCCACCAGCATTTGTTATTGGTTGATTTATTGATTTATTTATTTGTGTATTTGGTACAGGTTCTCACCATGCATCTTGGACTCTTAATGATCCTCCTGTTTTCAGCCTCCCCAGTGCTGGGATTATGGGTCTGCACCACCATGCCAGGACTTGGTAGCCAGCTCAGCATGCCCAGGAGTGGGGCCAGTGCAGCATGTGGTCCTGGGGATCAAACCCTGGACCCTGTGCTTGCCTAAGCAAGCACTTAGTCCGCTGAGCTATCTTCCTAGCCCTTATTGGTTGATTTCTTAATGATAACCATTCTTTCTGGGGTGAGATGGAATCTCTGTATTGCGTTAATTTGCATTTCTCGAATGACCAGTGATGTTACACAGTTTTTCATATATTTACGTGCTGTTTGTATTTCTTCATCTGAAAAGTGGTATTCATCTCAGATACCCGTTTTTTGAATTGGGTCTTTAAATTTGGGGGTGTCTGGTTTTTTTGAGCTCTTTATATGTTCTCAATAGTAATCCTTTGTCAAAGGAACAACTGACAAACACTTTTTCGCCACACTGTGGGTTGTCTGTTCATTCTGTTGGTGGTTTCTCTTGCTGTGCAAAAGCTTTTAAATAAGATGAAATCCCAGGTATTGATTCCTTGTGATAGTTCCAGTACAATTGGGGTTTTATTCATAAAGTGTACACCAGTGTGTTAAAAAATGTTACCTTTTCTATCTTCCAGCAGACTTAATGTTTCTATTTTAATATTTATTATTTACTTATTTTTTTTCTTTCTTTGAGACAGTGTCTTTCTATGCAGCTCGGGCTGGCCGCGAGCTCAGTCTATAACCCAGGCTAGCCTCGAGCTCACAGTGATCCTTTCGGCTCATCCTCTTGAGTGCTAAGATCACAGGCATGCACCATCACACCAGGCTTTCTTTTAATATTTAGATCTTTGACTCATTTTGACTTTAGTTTAGTGCATAGTGAAAGATATGGGTCCAGTTTTAATCTTCAGCATGTCCAAAGCCTGTTTTTTCTAGCACCATTCATTCAAGTGGCTGTCTTTCTTCCGGGGACTGTGTTGGGCACCTTTGTCCACTATGAGATGGCCAAGTACGTCTGGAGTTATTTCTGTATCTCTATTCTGTTCTGTTGCTGCTCAGGTCTATTTTTTGCCAGTATCATGCCGCTTTTATCATAGTAGCTTTATATAACTTCAAGTCAGGTACCAAGACACTCCCTTCCTTGTTTGTGTTGCCCGAAATTACCTTTGCTATTCTAGGTCTCTTTGGATTCAAAATGAATTTTAGGATTACTTTCTCTAATTCTATAAGATATGCTATTGGAATTTTGAAAGGAATTGCAATAAATCTGTGCAACAGTTTTGGAAGTATGGCCATTTTCACTATATTGGTTCTTTCCACCCTAGAGCAAGGGATGTCATCCATTTCTTGATATCCTCTTCAGTCTCCTTTTTCAATGCAGAGGCTCTCCTTCCTCTGTTAGATTGATTCCCTGGTACTTCATTTTTTTGGATGCTATTGTGAAAAGTGTTATTTCCCTAATTTCTCTTTCAGTGAGTTTATCTGTGTATAGGTAGGGATTTTATGAGTATTGACTTTATATCCACTATGCTACTAAATTTGCTTTTTAAATTGAAAGGTCTTTCAGTGGAGCTTTTGGAGTCTCCTGTGTACAGTATCATGTCATCTGCCAATAATGATAATTTAACTTCTTTCTTTCCTGTCATTATTTCTTCTGTTTCTTTCTCTTGTCTTATTCCTCTGGCTAAGTTTCCAGAACTATGGTGACTGTGAGTGGAGACAGTAGGTATCCTTGTCTTCTTCCTGAATTTGGAGTGAAAGCTTTCTGTCTTTGGTGGCAAATCATTTGAGATCTGCTGCACATCTTCAGTGACCAGTGGGTTGTATGAAATTGGGGACATTGTTTCTCTGTGGGAACTAGCAAAAGAAGAGCCACATGATGGAATTAGTAAACTGATTTAGTGTTTAGAAACTTCTAGCCAGCACGGCAGTACACACCTGGAATCCCAGCTACTTAGAAGGCTCAGGCAGGAGGATCACAAGATTGTTGCCAGCCTGGACAATCTAGTGAGACTCATAAAACAAGGATTAAAAGGGGCTGGGGATGCAGCTCAGTGATGGCGCACTGTGGGGCAGGGGTCTCTCTCCTTGCTCACTGTAGTATCGCCAGCTTCTGGAAGGGTATAATATAAAACGACCAACCATATTTTACTTGGACTAGAAGCAAAGGAGGGAGGAAAGAGGAGAAGAAACAAGATTGAGGTGTAGTGTAACACTTTCCTAGGAAAAAGCAATCCACATTAGTGTTTTGTTTTGTTTTGTTTCATTTTGTTTTGTTTGAGGCAGGGTCTCCTGAACTTGAGTCAATGCTCCTGTCTCAGTCTCCTGAGTGCTGGGGTTCAGGGGTGCTCCACCACACCAGGCTGAAGGAGCCCACATTGGAAAGCACTTTTTCTATTCTACTGGCATTTTGTTTTAACTGGTCTTCCCTCTCTGTCACTTTGCTTCATTAGTTAGCATCAGACATAAAACCCAGGGTGGTTTCTTAGTGTCTGGGAAGGCCAGTTTAGAATCAGCTCTGAGGCAGTGATGTCCCGCGCACACCGGTGCCTCAGGGCTGAAGCTCTGTGGTCCCAGGCACACACACTACAGCTGCCACAAGAATTGGGGCTGTGCTCCTCCATGCTCTGCTGGCCTCCCTCTGTCCTCCCATAAAGATGCTGAGCGCAGGCCTCAGGGTAAGCACAAATGTGGCAAAGCAGACAGGCGTGGGGGATGGGTGCTGAGGGCTGGATACCTACCTCTTTCTCACTATGACCCCAGGGCCTGCCCTAGGGTGAGCCAGGGACCCACAGCTGGGCAGATGGATGATGGTCAAATGTCTTTGTTCTCCAAGCTTCTCTCTGCTCTGCAAAGCAAAGGTGACCAGGGATTGGGTCAAAGAGAGCAATAGCAAACCACACGAAGTCCCACCTGAGGCCGTGCATCCTGTGTAATAGGGCCTCCGAGGGCTCGCAGAGGGCCTCCGAGGGCTGCAGGCGACCCAGGGGTAACTAACACACAACACTCTGTATTTTATGTCTCTATTACTTTGAGACTGTGTGACAGAGCTCTGCTCAGCTCTGCAGGGTATCCCGTGATCACACAGGGAGCTTCTGCACAGCCAGCTCCAGATAAATTCACTGTCCTGTTGGAGCCTGAGGACACTCGGATTTGCAAAGGCATCTGATTGCCAGCTTTTACAACACCTGTTCCAGATGCCCTGGGGAGCAATGTCTCCCATCATTGCCCCAAACCGGCAGTCCCCTGGGATTCCTCACAGGCCACCCCCAGATGAGATCACCTCCAAGCAAGGGCAGTTATCACATGACAAGAAGTGAGGCTGCCCCCCCCCCAGCAGGAGGGGTCAGCTCAGCAACTGAACCATGCCCTAAAGTGATGCTGGCTCCCTCAGGCCCTCACAGAACACCCACCAGCCAGACCTGGACTTAGGGCAGGACCACTGGGCTGCCGACCACCTCCCTCTCTACCCTTTCCTGTACAAGCCCAAAGTTTCAGGCCCTCAAAGATAGATTTTGTTTTTCAAAGAGAGATCTTGAACAGCCTTATCTGTGCTTCCCAACATGGCGTTGTGGGGGACCTCTCAGGCTGGCCCCCTGCAGGGGGGGGGCACACCCACCCCACTAGCTCAGAAGGCCACAGCCCTGCGCAGCAGAGAGCTGGGAAGACAGTACTTGGCACAGGAACCAGGAGAGTTTCCCTCCTGCACTTCAGCTCCTGGGAAACCCAGGGAGAAAAGCCTGCACCCCTCAACAACGCTGGCTCTTGGCAAAAGCAGCTCGGCCCTGAAGGAAGGACCCCCTTTCTCTTCCTTCTCAGGGGAGCAGCAGACATAGAAAGATCTTATTCACAAACCTTCTATTGAAAGCTTTCTGAAAATGCAAATTTCTTCCAAGTGGAGCCTTCTTTTCAAACACTTTCAAGTTGTCCGTTCCCACTGGGATCAGGACTCAGCTGCCTAAGCAGCACACTGGCCTGGAAAGACACAGAGTAGCAGCCACAGCCACTGGACACTGAAAGGAAAAGCGGAGGTGAGCGCAGCTCACTCCCCACCCCACCTGGTGTGGAGCAGGTGCTTCCCACCGGCTTTGCCTGCCCCCCCGCTGCTATCCTGTGGGGCCACTTTAATCCTAGGGTGCTGGGAACAAGGCAGTATCACTGTCACCTGCCAGACCTCCAGCCCAGTTGCTGGGTGAGCGTCTAGCAGCCCACTCTCTCAGCCCAGGGGATGGGGGCACGGGGCTGCAGCCTGGGTCTCCTCCCCCAGCCAACAGGGGCCCCTCTCTCCCCAGAGGCTGCCCTAAGCTGGGATGCCACCCCTTTCTGGCATCAGGTAGGAGGGAGCTGAGAGAACCTGGGAGAGATCCCCTCTCTTCTCTGTATCCTCCCACCTCGCCAGACACTGCTGCCCAGATGCTATCGGACCTTGTACCATATATTTTTTACCTGTGCTTGCTACTTTCCAACAGGAGCCTTCCATGCAATACGGAAAAAAGTTGTGCTGTGTCCAATCTTGTTGTCAGGCAGGTAGTTAGACCTTAGCAGGCGTGAGACACAAGGAGAAAGCGCGCAACCAAACTAGTGTCCAAGCCAGGTGTGGTGGCTCATGCCTACTGGCACTTATAGGAGGACTGCCTGTATTTGGGGCCAGCCCACCTGAACCACATAGTAAGACACAGTCTCAAATTGATAATAATATTAATAATAATAATATCCACTACTGGTTAATTACAGAAACACTTTGATGTATTTATAACCATGTGTTAGGTCTCAACCCCAAAGCAGTTCCACCACATGTCCCCCCTTCTTAAAGTGACACATTGTACACATTTCTTCCGACATCTGGCCACCAGGCCATCCAACTCCAGAACAGGGGTCAGCATTCTTGGCTGCCCACGCCTACGGTCCAGAGGGATCAGGAAAGAAAAGGTCCTCAGAACCTCCTACCTTGCATGAGATCCAGTTTAGATTAAAAATCTCTCTTCTGTATATTTGGGTTTTTTCCTTTTTTCTTATTTGGTACCGGGAATCAAACTCATGACCTCATGCCAGGCAGGTGCTATACTGCTGAGCTACACCCTAGCCCTTCTCTGTAAATTTCCAGCATGACTAAAGCCCCTGAGGATACACCGACCATCTACAAAGACCTAGAAGATGTTGTGCAATTCCTAAGTAACTTCTAAGTAAAATATTGTTAAACAAGGGGCCGGGGTGATGGCTCAGTGGAATAAGCGCTTCCCTGGCAAGCGCAAGGGCCTGAGTTCAATCCCCAGTTCCGCCAAAAAAGTAAAATAAAATAATAAATAAATTAAAACATTGTTAAACATTGTAAGCACCTGGGTCCAACCTGACAGTAACTCAAACACACACAGGGAAGACACTTTCATGCCCTGCCTGCTTTCTTGCTTGAAGGTGTAACTCTCGGGGTGTCGACTTGGCAATAAATTCTCCCTAGAGGTCTGAGCATCCTCTGTGTCTTCACTGAATTCTTCCATCCAGGACAAAAAGCACTGCCTTCAGCCTTAGAGCTTATGTTCTGCAGGTCTTTCTGTTTCTTTTTCTTTCTTCCTTTTTTTTTTTTTTTTTTTTGAGACAGGGTCTGGCTATGTAGCCCAGGCTGGCCTTGAACTCAAGGCATTCCTCCTGCTTTAACTTCTGAGTGAGATTACACTGGGCAACAGTTGATTCCTTGAGGCTGTTCTCAGAAGAGGCAGCCCTGAGGTGGGAGAACTGGAGTTCTGGATGTGCCTAGCTCTAGCTCCCACCTCCTCCCCTGGAGGCAAATGGCCTGGAGAGGGGCTAAGCCATCAAAGGCCACTGACACAATCAATGATATCCACATAATGGAGGGGCCACGGGCTCGGAGATGGCCCAGTGGAATAAGCAATTCCCTGGCAAGTGCAAAGGCCTGAGTTCAATCCCAAAAAAAAAAAAAAAAAAAAAAAAAGAAAGGGGGGGTTCAAAGGAGCCATCAAACTAGGTCAAGACCCAAAATCCTTCTGGGGAGATGGCTCAGTGAAATAAGCACTTCCCTGGCAAGTGCAAGGGCCTGAGTTCAATCCCGGGTTCTGCCAAAAAAAAAAAAAAAAAAAAAAAAAAAAAAAAAAAAAAAAAAAAAAAAAAAAAAAGAGCTTATTGGGGCTGGTGAGATGGCTCAGTGATCTAAAGCACCTATTTAAAACAAGCTCAGCAAAGCCCAGGGACGGCAGTTCAAGCCCCCAGCACCACATGCCAACCAGCCCCCCCCCCTGGTGGGCTGAGCTGCTCCCACACACACACACACACATAAATAAATAAATTTTTTTTAAAAAAGACCCAAAATCTCCATGTCTCATTTCATCTCAGCGAACACAGGAGAGCAGCAGCTGCCTGCTCTGTGGCGGCTTCCCAGGGTTTGGGTGGAGAAGCACCATTCCCGTGCTCCACCATGTTCTTCCCTTTCTAAGGTCCTTGTCATTTCCTGTTAATGTCATACCAGAACCTTGACTGTGTAAATAGCACAAATAAAGACAAACTCCACTGCCCTGGACTCCAATCTTTGTTCACCACCCCACCTCCCGCCTGACCTGTGCCTCAGCACACCACTGGGAGTTTGGAATTTTGGAGCAGGAAATTTGGAGCCTGAGAATAAACAGAGCACAGGAGGCAGAGTGATCAGATTTAGGTCACTGTCACAAGGTTGTTCTCCTGTCTGCTGCTGTCTTCCTCTCCTCACAGAGGTGACCGGGACAGGAACAGCACCCCTTCCCTAATGGGCCTCAAGATGGCTGTGCCACTACTCAGTTTGTGCTCACAGAAAGTGTGGCAAGGTCCTAAGATACACAGTAGGAAGGGCTGATAGAGACTCAGAGGAGCCTTTACTTGTCCCCCACTGCCATCCAGGGACCCCACTGCTGACACCCACTACCCCCGTCCCCGGCACTAGGAGCAGAACACACCTGTGCCAGCCTGGGTGGCAGGGGCCAGCTGAGGGGGGCAGCTCAGAACAATGAGTGTGGTCATCTTTCTCCCCGCTTCTTGGGGCAAGATCATAACCACCGATGTACTCGTAAAAGGGACAAGAGTCAGGGCAAGTACCCAGGGGTGGGCCCGGCTGGCACTGCACTGCGAGGTTGACTTAGACTGTGATTTCATGTCTTCCCTGCCCTTGTTGGGCACAGCTAGATTGATTCTTTTCTTCATGAGGTGCTTCCTCTACCAGGGTTTTCAGAGGGGCCACAAACAACAAGCTTTCTGATTTTTTATCCCCTTGCTATCTTAGCGGGAAATCCAAATCTAGATTTAAAATTATTTTTCTTTGGCATTTTACTTTTTTCTCCCCCTGCCTTTGTTTTTTTGCAACAGGGTCTCACCACATGACCCAGGCTGGCCTTGAAACTGTAATCCTCCTCCCCTGGCCTCCCAAGTTACTGGATTACAGGTGTACCCCACCACACCCAGCTCTGTGATATTTTTAAATAATTTTCAACCTCTTCTTAAATCCAAAGTCAATGTCATGAAGTCTGAAATCAGGGTGAGATGTGTAGCTCAGGTCAGAGTACGTGCCTACCATGCACAAGGGCTCTAGTCCAGCATTACAAAAAAAGAAATCTGAAGCCAAATCAATTTTGACAGTGGGGAGTTTGAGACAAGGTCTTGCTATATAGTTCAGGCTGGGCTCAAACCTGAGGTAATCCTCAGCTTGCTGAGTGCTGGGATTACAGAAACGCATCACTACACCTGTTCGGAAGCCAATCTAATTTAGGTTCCTTCCTCAGTCCTTCAGGCATCAAGCTCCTTGGAATGCCTTTGTAATGGCAGGAGCTTTAGCTGCCAGCTTGGACCATAAAACTATGATAGGAGAACACTAACCTAGTCACAAAGAAACAGAGCCTATATCAGCCTATAAATGTGCATGTGAGACAAAGAGAAACTTTCATTGCATCTGTGCTTTTAGTCTTTGTTTTTAGCAGCTGAAACAAAACTTAAATCTGCTTTGGTTTATACGTTGAGAAAGCAGATTATTTTCCCCCTTGTGCTCACGTTGTCCCCTGGATGCCAGAGACCTCAGCAGGCAGGGACACACCTCAGGGAGATCACAGCTTTCACCCTAGCCCTAGTGCCTCCCCAGGGAGTTGAGGCAATGGGTGCAGGGTGGAAACTGCCTCTAGCCTTACAAAGTGACCCTGACCAAGCCCACAGCCACCCTCCTATCACTAGGAAGCCCTCTCCCCTTCCCATCATTCTTGCCAAGAGCTGAGTCGGACAAGCAATTGCAAGCCTCAACCCAGAAGGTGGGGAGAAGGTCCCAGTGTAACAAGCTTTGACCCCCCAGCCTCATGTTGGCACCCCAGGCTGGCACAACAATCTTTGTCCTGCTCCCAATGTCATAGTGGTGGCTCTGCATCTCTGTCCCCCACCTAGCTCCACAGAGGGGAACTTACAGGTTCCATAACTACTCTCAAAAACTTGGTTTAGTGGCACTAACTATAATCCCAGCTCTCTGGAGGCAGAGGCAGGAGGATCTTGAGGCCACCCTGGGCCAGCAGAATCCTACTGAGCCCAGCCCTGGGCTTCTCCCCACAGCCCCCAATCTCCACTCTGCATCTTGAACCACCCTGCCACAGGAATCCAAAAGCAGAAAGTCACATTGGCGAGGATTCCATCAAGATTTGGGGCTCTCCCTCCAAACACTGGCTGGAAGAACTGCTGGGTGATCAGATTCATAACCATGGAGTACCTGCTCCACTGTGGAGAGGGCTGGCATCTTGTACATCTTTGAGTTGCCATTGCTTGCAAATAGTAGGTGCTCAAAAAGATTTGTTTGGGGGACTCACAAAATTCTCCTAGGGAGAAGTCTTAGGTAGGGAGGGCAGGAAAGAGCATGCCTGGAGGCGAAGCTTAGAGGTCATACATAGCTGAGGATGATTAACATGGTTTGTGTCTATCACTGTGTAATACTATACACAGGGAATTAAAGGATTTTAGGCACTGGCCACCGGCGGATATGTAAATTTAAGCGAAATCAAATAACGTGTGTAAGTTTCTCCTTGGCACTAGCCTTATTTCAAGTGCTCAGTAATGGCCTGAGGCTTGTGGCTGCTGCTTTGACATCACAGATGAAACACTCCCAGCACCACAGTGGGTTAGGCTGCACCCTGCTAATCCCTGAAACAGAAGGAAATGTTCCTGTGCCTGTCCTAGCCTAATGACCCGAGCCCCATCAGTTCCCCCACTTGCCCAGCGCCCAAGCTCCAGCACAGCAAGTACCTAGCCAGTACTGGGGCCTCTGCCCCACTGGCAAACGCGAATGCCCCTCCTGTCGCTCTCTTCCTGTCCACGTCTCTGCATGCTGACCTCCAGACCAAAGCAAGGCCGCCCACAGACCTGGCCCTGCGCCAAGCCTGTGCAGCTCCTCGGAAAAATGAGCATTTGCTCCAGGATGCAAGAAGGATGTCCCCTCGGGAAGGTGTGTGTGCTGTGTGCCCCTTTCTCGCCGCCCATGGCCAGCGCCTACTAGGTGCTCAGTAAGAACCTGTTGGACGGCGGGCTGCTGGCCGGGGGCTTCCGCCGCCTGAGGGCGCCCTGCGTGAGCGCGGCCGGCCGGCTGGGGTCGGGGCGGCCGGGACCGGCC